TCATCTATGTGGTCGGCCCCATTTTATTTCCTTCCACCTCCATTTGCAATCCTCCCTTCCCCCTTCATTCATATGATTTAACGCCCCTCTCATCCATGACCGGACGGCCTCCTCAGCATGGCAAGGCACTGATCTCATGCACAACCACGTTTTGGATCAGTCCAGCGCGGATTCTCTGGGCCGCCGTAGCAGTATCTCGAGGCCCGAGGCCACTTCTGACCTCTCAGAGGACTCTGATTATGACAGTATATGGACGGCCCACAGTTACAGGATGGGCTCTGTTACCCGTAAGAGCTCCTACATCTCCCACCAAAATTAATCTCCCCCTCACTCCTATTTCAAATGACTTGATATTTATTTGAAACTATTTATTTATTTATTTATGTATTTATTCGATGCCCTGTCATGATGCATATTTATTTTGGTCATTTTTATATTTATTTATTTATCTATCTATCAGTGTTGTTTTAATCACACCATATCATTTTCTGCATATATACTGTATGCACTTTCCCAAAGCAGTTCCCTGTTGCCTTGACATCTCAACTCCCCAGAACCACAAACCTCACACAACTTTTTTTTTTACGTTGTTTGCATCGCATACAGTATTTATTTAAGTGTCCTTTAAAAATGTTTGTATTCCTTCATTCCCTTAAGTATTGAATTATTAATGCTGTTGAGGGTATAATGCACTCAGAAGGCAACATGGAGAGATTCTGCTGTAAAAGAAGATAAAAGATTATAAATCTCTTACAATGTCTGTAAATATTAGAGTATTGTCATTCATCTGAAATATGTGGTATTTACTTGGACTCTGTTTACTGAATGTGACAATTAGATTGAGCTGAACAAATGAGTTCATGAAATTCATATTTATGGATCTCAGATGGCACCTCGGACAGTATTACTGACGACGTTTTGTTCATAATTGTGTGACATAAATGTATTTATTTTCAATTTGTAAATGTATTTTGGACTTTTTGTATGCTTGTATCTAACATGTAAGTTTACAGTGGTGTCTATAGTGAAAAGTATGGAAGTTTACAAAAAAAGGTTGAATTTAATGTTGGTTGAAATTCTATTCCATTTAAATCAGGTGTGTGGATGGTACTAGTCAAGGGTTCTTCACCATTCATTCAAGACTCTGTCAAAGCCTCAGTGTTTGATGCTTTTCTCTTATGTATGACTCGTTTCTGAGACGAAGAAAACCGACTTGCCAATTATTTCAAGAATGACAAAGAGTATAGTTCCTCTTGTTATGTGATTCCTTGTGACCAAGTTCTATTCTGTGGTTTAAAAAATATATGAACAAGAAGAAAATGTGAATATTTACTACTTTTTTGTCGGTTGTTTCATGCAGATATTCTTAAAATCCTTCAACAGAGATACTTAAGTGATGTTTACGTGGTTTGAAGACATTATTAATGTGTTTGTTATATATATGCAGAGTCAAATATATGACAACATGCCACAAACATTGTAATATACATTTGAAATAAATCTTGGGTTGTTTTGTACAGTATGTTTATCCTTTCAGGAATTGATCTATTGGAACAAAAGTGTTCCTTTTCATTGAATGGTTTTGATTTCTGTTTGGTTTTATTTAGCGGTTTTTGGTGTTGTATTGTTTACAGGTGTTTTGATTTTTGTGTGGTTGAGGAAAGTTTCAGTTTGACCACCCTTCAGGAAACCCCTTGGTCCTTTATTTTTCTTCTTCTTCTGAATGTTTTTATTTTCCTTGGATGATCCCTCTCTGCATGACTAACTCCTGTCTCACTCACGCACAGTCCTGTGTAAGTTTGATCCAGTCCAAATCATTTTTGGGGCACAGTGGTCCTGTACTGAGCTAATCGATAAGTCCAACTAAACTAAACTAGCTGAAATCAATTTGCGGGGCTTTTCTTTTGAAACAGGACAGTGGAAAGATGGCAGTCCAGCATTGATAGTTCCTGGCGACGAGAAGTTCAGTGTAGACGAGTTGAAGAGTAACGGTCAGACTCTTCTGGAGGAGAAGTAAGACATATTTATCGTACATATTTGTCCACACTCAGAACAGGCTTTATAATATATGTAAAGAAGATGGTTGTTTGTCAAGGGAACATATTCAAGAGCTTATGCATAAAAAATATTTAATGACATTAAATATTATTTTTTTTCCTTAGGAGTCTTGTTGATGTTGTTTATGCTCTGAGAGATGAAGTACAAGAACTTAAACAGGTGAGTGTTGAGAGGGTTCTATGATGTTTTTAATTGTATATGTGTATTAAAATAGAAAACATTGATATGTCTGTTTCCTAGTTAACAGATTTTAACCTTTCAACAGGACTATAAAAAAATGAAAAAATCCCTGGAGGAAGAACAGAGAGCTCGGAAAGATTTGGAGAGGATCGTTAAAAAAATGCTAAAGAATATGAATGATCCTTCTTGGGATGAGACAAATTTATGATATTAGCTGCCCTCTTACTACAGGTTTCTTATTTTAAACTGGATAAATGACCTGGAAGCCCTTATAGGTCATATAAATTTACCTTTATCATGTACATGGGTTAATATGAGTCTGCAGTAGCATAAAAATGTTACGTGTTGAATCTAATACGGCTCTAAAAATTGAAAAACACTAATTTTATTGCTTAACAATCATGATCGCATCAGGCGGCATGAATGTTATCTGTTGAATTTGTCTTCCACCTGATGATAGGTGCTGAGAAGGACAGTTCCTTAGTCAGTTTGGGATCGAGAGTGTCCTGTTTTTCTACAAAATTACCTTTATCACTACAAGAGTTCAAGAGATCATCAGATTTTACAGGTACTTGTGGTTTTTAAATGGCTTTTATTTAGATGCACACTGATTTAAAATTTTTACTCTGTGAATACTTTCATGATGTGAACTTTCTCCATTCCATTTAATTGTTTACATGCAGATGTTGATATTTAATTATTATTTCAACAGTGTGTGCAAACAGCAAAGCAAGAGCCGCACTATTTTTTTGAATGTGGAACATGAAGCTTATATGTGTGTCAGTGCATATTTTAGGTGCCATTGTGACTCAAGCTGTGACGGGAATTCTATATATCCATCATACCTGTGAAAAAAGCTTTTATCCCCTCCCCGATGATTCCAGTTATGACTGTACATTGCAGTGTCATTTATATTTTGCGTGACCAAAGCATAAGCCAACCTCTTATTTATGAACTTCACTATCTGTGACTTTATACTGTACTTGACATTTATTCCTTATAGCTCTTACAAAATAACCTCATCTGAATTCATGTAGGATATTTATTTAGTGTTCTTTATCTCAGATCCATGTTACTGTAAATTAATTCTGTAAATAAAGACAGTTTATTTGCTTCTTCGGTTGCATCTGTTCAGTTTAAATGGAACAAACAAACTTGATCATAAACAATATGTGGGTCAAAGACAAGCCTTTTTTTGACCCTTTTCATCAACATAACATTACTTGAGTCATTTATTAAAAATTATATTAAATAGTATATTGACTTAAATAGTTTGTTTTTATGGCATCAAATGATTCTTGTTTTAAATATGCCTGACATGATTACTTGATATATAAACTATTGTTCTGTGGTGGAAAGAGTACCATTACTTGCTTAAACATGTAGTGCAAGCAGATTAAAAGCATTTGTTGTAAATATTCCTTAAAGTATGAGTAAAAAGTAGCCCTTTCAAAAGTACTCAAGAGTTGTGAGTATTACTGATGCATGACTAAAAAGCTGAGGCATTTACATCTAATTTGTGGATGTGTGTAAACGTAACATTCTGTAGTGCATTTAGTTATTGCCCAGCAGGCAAACAACATCATAAGACGTAAATATTAGGTTAGATTTATATTGTGATGCCAGATGACCTAAATTCAATGTCTAGCCCGCCTTTAAGCACAACATTATTTTGATGTCTAATAACGATCAAATGATGTTGATATTTATTTGATTTTATCTCGTGTTAGAAAGTAACAAAAATCCAGCGTTGAGCCAATATCTTAAACCAACGTCATATTGATGTCAAATACTGACATTCATTCATCAGGTATGGCAACCAGAATCCAACATCTGAAAGACATCATATTGGTATCGTCCACACAGCATCAAGCTGTAATATCATTAGACATTGATATTTGGATGATTTTAGGTTGAATGTTGACATCGGCCTGACAATGGGCTCTAATGTCAATACTATTTTCATTTATAAACAAAATGCTATGTCCCCATGACGTTGGGGTACAACGTCAATCTGATGTCATGTTGATGTCTTGTGCCTGCTGAGTGTTTGAGGCCATTTGGGTCATAATACTGTAAACATCTGACATTTTCTCATCAGTGACCTGCATCTAAACAGTTTCTGGGTCAATGCGTGTAAAGATTTTGGACATCTTCTTGGACACTTTTAATGCTTCCAAATGGTTTGCTGCATATAAATAGTATAAATAGCCCATGTCTTGATGATGCGATTTACCTTCTATGTGTGATCTATGTGACCTATTACCGGGAAATACCCATACACACTTGCACAATTTAGTTTATTCAATTCACTTATAGCGCATGTCTTTCGACTGTGTGGGAAACCCACATGAACACGAGGAGAACATGCAAACTCCACACAGAAATGTCAACTGGCCCAACTGGGACTCAAACCAGCGACTATTTTGTTGCGTGGTGAGAGTGCTAACCACTGAGCCACCGTGCTGCCCTTTATAAAGTGTTTTGTATTAGTATTTTACAAGTCTTAGTACCATTACAAATGTCTCAAGTTACTTTTATTTTCATTGATAGAACATTTTTGCAACTCTTAACCTGACATCATGTTTATCAGATGAATAATGAGATAACTCATCTCACACCTGTGTTAACTGTGTGTGAACAAACAAACATGTTGGGTGCGGTAGCTCAGGAGTTAAAGTTAGGTTTCTGTACTCCATCAAGGGGAAGGGCATAACGACAAGGGTGACTTTATGCCCTTTATGTCTTTCGTCAGCACACAACAGTTCTGGGTGAAGGTTGTGCATGCACCAGGCTCTATTACAGTGACAAGGCAATCTAGTCCCTTTGTGGGCGATGATTCTACTTCATTGATTTACAATGGAAAGGATATAATTTTGCTGGTGTTGGCAAAAAGCTCAAATGTCAGGCTTTTCAGAATGCCAGCATTGCCTTGTTCGCAGATGAATAAGGAGAAAGTCACCTTTTGTCTCCTGTTAAATATTCCTGCATAAATACAAAGGAGCATAATGCCCTCCTGATAAAAGGAAGCCCTGATTTATCCTGATTTATCCTTTAGTGTATAGATAAAACCCGCTGATAAATGCCAGGTTGGCCTTTTCATTTTTGTTCTCTGAGGTTCGCTTTGCTTTTTTGCAGCATATCGAGTTTGGAAGACGGGTGTCGTTTTCAGAGACGCTGTTTTGTGGAAAGGACACAAAAGATGCTTTAAACCTGCGTTAATGATATTCATGTTGCTTTGAAGTGCAAGTTTAGGAAACAGTGCAAAAAGTTTGACTTCCAGGTATTATCATGCAGTTACCTGTTGTTGAAATGCGAAAGGTATGACTTGGACTCAGTGGACATGGAATCAATTAGCTTTTGACCAGTCCATAGACACACACGCACACGCATGCTTGTCTAAGACCCTGTCTCTCCCTTTCTTTCTCTCCTTTGGTCTATTCAGTAGCCTGTGATCATTTAGATTTGACATGCATTGTAGCTGAGCTGGTCTCTCTCTTTTGCTCTCTCTCCCTCTCCCTCTTTTGCTACTGTCTGTCATTAATTTCCAGGCTTTACAATTTGCCAAAAAAGAAAGAGAAAAGAGTGAGTGAGTGGTGGAAGGATAAGAGCTCAGTGTCCTTTTGAAGGGGTTTGTTATTGCACAAAAACAGCCGCCCAATAATTTTTCGTCAATGTTTAACTCTAAAAGCTTTTCCCCGTCAGCTTTTGAAAAGAAGAGCAATAAAGCCCTATTCATACGGACTGAATAAAAACAGTCCTCTGGGGGCTATGACCGAAGGGCTTCTTTTCTTCTGCCTCTAATCAAATAGGAACTGAAATGAATTAGAGTTTTCTTATGAAAATAGCCTTTGTTGTCAGGCAGGCCGGTAATTCATAAACAATAAGCAACGTCATTGTGTGGCTAGTAATATATTCATGCTGTGGAAAGGCTAGAAGGCAGTGCAGGACTATGGCTTTGTGAATGAGGGGAGGGAAGGATTGGTCCTGGACTCTTCATTTGCAGTCTTCACAGTGGGTGGTTCTGGTAACCACCAGTTTCTCTTCGTCTCTCTCTCTCTATTTCTCTCATGCTCCTGATGTGGTCTTCTCATTTTCCTCATGCTCTTCCTTGTTTGCTTATTTCTTGCAACTTTTCTCATTTTGACCTTTCTCAAAGGCCTCTCGCTCTTCCTGTGCCTTGACCTGTCAAGTTTTTCAACTGCTTTTTTGCTCCTTTTTCCTCTGAGCAAAGGTTTATATTCTGGAAAACTTCTGGCTGGTGTTGTGGATTCTGCTCCCAAACTCGTCTCTCTTGGAAAAAGTAGTGGATTATCTGAACCATGAGGAATGTGTCGCGGAGGGCAAAGGGCAAATGGACTACAGCAACTTGGATTTGTACTTGAACTTGGATTACCACAAACCTGAGGAAAAACTGTGTTCTCGCTTATAAGGGATTAATGCAGCTCTTTTGGTGGACCTGGATGTCTTTTCTGTCAGTTTTTCAACATGAAACGGCAAAATTGGTTGCTTAAATTCCATTATTTTCTTTTCTCCTCTGCTTTGACATTATTCATGGAGTTAAATATATTGACAGGTTTTGACGAGGCTGTTTCCGTCGTAAGTTACTTTTTAAAATAAACTCATGACTTTGAATTAAGGTATGCCACCGTGCCACGACATTTTGAATAAACATGATTGGAATTTACAGCTACATCTACAACTTGTGCCATGAAGACAAACTTTAAAATGTCATTTTCTGAGTGGAAAAACAGGATTTAAAAAATATATAAATATAGCAGAACTTCTGGTGCTGCTTAATGACACTCAAATAAATCACCAGCTATCAACAGTACGTGAGTCTTTAACTGTTGTGGTAATATTGAGAGGTTTGTGGCTTGTGTAAAGATTAGCTTAAAAAAGCTAATTTTCGGAGTTGTTAAAGGAGTTTGTCAACTAATTGGGCGATTAAGAGGGTAAATTACAGAAGAAAATAAGTTCATTTAATTCGCTTAGCAGAAGCAGCTACTTAAAATAAGTGCCAGCAAAACACCTTTTTTGATAACAGCCATTTAGAGGAGGATAATATCTTCCTCCACTCGTACAGTTTTCATACATTAAACAACTTGGCAAACTTTTAGATGACAACTCATGAAATAGTTTAAAAACCGAGCTTGAATAATTCTAAATAAGCACGTGCACGTTTACGAGTCAACGACGGTTACGCCTAAAGGTCTCGAACACCATTTTCCAGTCACCGCTTAACCTGTACGTCGAACTTGTCAACGACGTGTTATTATTTTCTTAATCTTCATAGTATAACCATATAAATCAGCTGCCTGGTCCTACCTGTCAGTCAGTTGTTTTCGAAGCTGAAATGACTGTAGTACTGCAGCTCAACAGCAGATGGCAGCTTTGCTCTATGAGAAAATCGAAGAAGAGAAGCCATAATAACATTACACTAAAAAAAAGCGCGGCAGCTGGTTGAAATCGGAAAATACGTTAGGGGTAAAACAACCTCAACTTTGAGACGAACTTACTACACAGGCAAGTAATGCTTTTTGAACGGGCCCTGTGCCAGTTTTTTTTATTACTTATAAACACAAATTCCTGTTTTTTGTATGTAAATGCTGTACACCACCACATTATGGTGTTTGACGATTATGATGTTGGTTATGATTATGAATCACCATGCAGCTTATTGAGGTATTTTAACTACACACACACACACAAATCGTATAACAGTGTTTCACGTAGTATCTACTATATGAACTCTTTTCTACTGTCATCAGTTCGAATTTAACGTTAATAAAAGTAAAACGTTTAATAAAACGTCAACAAAGTTGTCAACGTTTTACTATAATATGTCCATGGCTAAGTTAACAGTTAATTGACGCAGGGGACAACTATTAGCCTACTGTTGAATTGTGTTCTCAAGGGAACATTTGTACTAACTTGTACAATTGTTGTAATTGGTTCTTTAAGCGAAGTACCTGTTAAATCGTGTTATGGTGTTAAGGGATAACGTTAGTTAATCTACACGTTAACATTCTGTCATATCTTAACTTCGACACAAACCCCTAAAAACACAAGCAGGAGCTTTTATATTCTCAGCCTCATGTACCTCCATTGCATGCTTTTCAGCAGAGAAATTGCATGTTGTTCGAGAGAACACCATACCTGAGATCAGATTTTGAACAGAATGAGACTGAATCATTGGCTGCATTTGTAACTTTGCCATCAAAGGACAGTTCACACCAAATAAAACTTTTCTCAGAATTTACTCCTCAAGACAACTGTTAGCCATTGGCATCCATATTGGGATAAATATTTAAATGGCTACAGGTTTCCATCATCATTCAAAATACTTTGTCTTTGTGTTAAACAATATAAAAAACTCCAACAGTTTTGAAACAAGTGGAGGATGAGTAAATGATGACAGAATTGTCATTTTTATGCGAGCTGTCCCTTTAAATTGGGATATGCAGTAGCTCTATTGAACCTCTAGAGGGCGCGCAAGACCGCATAAACTGCTCAAACTGACCTGTCAGTGCTTCGATGATCGTCGCTTGACAAAAGGGTGAACATTTGATTATTCATTCGCTAAATGCCAAAGTTGATTTTAACCACATAGCGATCACACTTTAAATACAGAGCACCCAATTAAAACACCGATTTATTAAAATGTACCAGTTGGAAGAAAATAATGTCCTATAATTTATAAATCACCTCAGGTACAAACCCAGGGCCTTTGTTTCTTTTTATTTATCCAGCAGAACAATACCACGAACATTACCAGGAGCACAAATGTCATTGTTAAGGATAATTAAGATTACATTTATTTTACAATTAAACATCAAAAGTTGAATCAATATTCACACAAATGAATCTAGCAAAGGAAACACTGTCCCTTAAATAAATGAACAGAATATCAGGAGAATTTCAAACATTTCCATCATTTAACCATGTATGAGCATGATAGTGATATTAGTATGTTTAACTTTAAAAGATTAGCTCTCAAAGTATAGCTAGATGAATCACAATAGAGTCATACGGTATAGATGAATCTCTCTCATGCTTGTATGTTAATGTTCTATCCCAGTTCTTCTTTGTTGGAGAGATTGATTTTTTTTGGAAAAAAATTAAGAGACAAATTGCTAATTTGAAGTTTCCCTGGATTCATCAGTTACGGCTTTGGGAAATTTGGTAAAATTCATTTTATTCTCTAAAGGTTTGTTAAAAAACCTTCAAAAATTGTAATAGAAATGTCATTTAGAGCATTTTGTTTCAAAGAATCACAATTGATGAATAAAAAATGTTTTAATGTGTTGTCATTGAAAATCAGGGTTATTACAGCAAATACTAATCCTTTTCTGGAGTTAAAATATTTGTATTGTCTAAAAGTGAATATATACAAAACATTGCACCTTTTGATATTTAATGTGTTCTAGACTATTTTATTTATACCAAAAACAAATTACATATTTAAATGTTTATATTCATTTTTAGATTTTAGAGGATACCATACCAATATTTTACTTTAGAAGTGTTAAGAAAGCAAACTTCTTGTTCTGACCAAATGTCATTTTTAAAAAAATGCTCAATATATAATAATAATGCTTAATATATATCAATATATAATAAAATGACAATATATAATCATACAAATATTACCACTTTACCTAAGAAATACTTAATAAATCCAGAGAAACCAATAATTGTCAAGTTATTACTATGTTATTTTATATATACACACAGTGCCCAGCATATATGAATATAAACCCCACAAATCTCTCATTTAAATGAATATTTTCTAGAGGAAGCTATACAATATTTGTACATTAGATTAGTCAGTACTAAAGCCAAATCTAGAGCTTATCTAACAAAATAACTTACAATAATAGTTCAAAAATTAGTAGCCCAAATTTATAATTATATTAAATAATTTTTTCAAAAATCACGAGAAACAAAAAATATACAATTTAGTTTAAATGTGTAGGTTGTAATTTTCTTTGCTATATTTTGCATGAATTTAATTGTATTACTTTCCATTTCTAAAGATGTTCTGTGACTAAAATATTATTTTAATAAATATTTCTGTTTTGTTTAAATGCACCAATATATATTACCCATATTCACTGAGAAATATATAAAAATAATTATTTTCAAAACGGGGTGTACTCAGTTATGCTAAGCATTGTGTGAGTGTGTACGTGACATACAAACATAGGTGAAAGGAAAATCATGTCATTTCTTACTACCTGGTTTTACATTTCACAAATAGATGGGCGTTGGCATGGGAACCTGCCCCTGGCTGCTACCTGAATGAGGGCGCAGGGCCTCTGCGAACAGCGCAGTCAAAGGAGTGACCCAGCAGGCTGCACATTTTTACCTACAGCCGTATCCATGACAACAGCCTCATGCCCACAACCATTGAACACTTGATTGACAGATGTCCAAATGTCAACCACTCCCTCTCAGGTAAACCTCCAGGCGTTTTGCATTTCCATTTTGTTATAACTGTTATCCTTTCCTTTACTTGCGCACACTGTTTTTATTTATTTTTCTTCTTTAGCCCGACAGGGTCACAGGTCATGCACACAGTTTTTTTTTTTGACGTGAGTGTTTGTATGTGCTTTTACTTTCTTTTTAAATTGACATGGGCTCTGACTGCCAGCTCGCTGCTTTACTTAGCGGGTGTATTTTTGTATGTGATGCGCATTAGCAGAGACAGATCCGCTATACAGAGCTGGGCCATCTTTCATAGCGAGAGAGACTGTATTAATCCATCTTCTCGGCCTAAAAGAAGCACTGTACTTAAAGTAGCACAGTCTCTTCCATATTAGAGCGTCAAAGTGGAGATTCAATCACAGTAATGGTCAGCGTCTCACGGCGCTTCTCCATCGATCCAGGGGACAGTGTATTGGCTCCATTAGTGAAAAGGAAATTGAGTGCTATTTTCTAGTCGTCACAATCTATTTGTCATTCAGAATTGAGACATGCGGGTCTATGGTTTGAATATGAATGTCAGAGCAGGTCTGATGCGTGTGTGTGTGTGTGTGTGTGTGTGTGTGTGTGCTTTTATAAGAATATATGGAGCAGATGTATATGAATATGTTTATATTATAGAAGCCTACAGTGCATATTCTTTTGTAAGGTTAGAGAGATTTTCCCTGTAGGGTAGCCTATGTATTTAAATTTGTGTATATGCAATGTGCATGCACACATTTATACACAGACACACAAATATAGATACATAAATAACCTTGAGTGTCCATTATATTATACATGCACACACAACATTTATTAACCTGTTCAAATTAATAGACTCTTAATTTTTAGTAATGTATTTGCATATAATAATAATAATAATACTTAATAACAATACATAATATTAGTAATATTAACAATTATTATTATTATTAATAAAAACAATATCAATAATAATAAAAAAAATAATAATTATCGTTATTAATTATAAAAAATAATAATACATTTTTCTATTTTTATTATTCATTCATTCATTCATTCACTTATTCATTTTCTTTTGGACTTTATATAAAGTCCCTTTATTAAGCAGAGGTCGCCACAGTGGAATGAACTGTCAACTTACCCAGTATATGTTTTATGCAGTGAATGCTCTTCTATCAGCAACCGATCACTGGGAAAATTATAATTAATAATACTAATAGTCATTATTATCAATAATAATAATATACATAATCATGATAACAGCATTATTAGTTTAATAATTATTTATATTATTAGTTAAATTATTATATGAAATTATAATTAAATTAATTGAATGTCAAAAAATCAAATAAATGCAGTAGAATTTAACTGAATATAGTTCCGTTTCATTTGAAAAGTATGTTCGGATACTTTTTATACACTACAAAGACCAAAAAATCCAATTATAATTATAAATAAATATGTGTGTTTCATATACTATAATACAGTATATCCTTTTCAAACTAGTAAGCTCTTTATTAAAATCTTTCCCTTATCTTTCCTCTTATAATTATAGTAGCAACAATAATAGTCATTTGAATATCAAAATAAAATATATAAAATTAGTTTTTAACGTACCATATTTACAATATAACAAGTCATAATTATTAGCCCTCCTTTAATAAAAACAAACAAAAAAAAAACAATATTTCCCAAATAATGTTTAACAGATTCAGGAAATTTTCACAGTATGTCTGATAATATTTTTTCTTCTGGAGAAAGTCTTATTTGTTTTACTTTGGCTAGAATAAAAGCAGATTTTAATTTAAAAAAATTGTTTTTGTCAAAATTATTAGCGCCTTTAAGCCAACATTTTTTTCGATAGTCTACAGAACAAACCATCGTTATACAATAGCGGGTAACTAATTACCCTTACCTGCCTAGTTAACATGATTAACCTAGTTAAGGCTTCAAATGTCATTTTAAGCTGTATAGAGGTGTCTTGAAAAATAACTAGTAAAATATTATTTACTGTCATCATGACAAAGATAAAATAAATAATTTATCAGAAATGAGATATGTGTTTAGAAATGTGTTGAAAAAATCTTCTCACCGTTAAACAGAGGGGGGCTAATAAAAAATGGGGCTAATAATTCTGACTTCAACCGTATATATAAGTTCATGTGTGTTTTTTGTGTGTTTACAGTAGGGCTGCACAATATATCGTTGTAGCATCGATATCGCAATGTGTGAATGTGCATTATTCACATTGCAGGATCTGTAATGTGGAGTCAGGATTATAGTTCAGTTCAATTCATCTTTATTTCTATAGCGCTTTTACAATGTAGATTGTGTCAAAGCAGCTTAACATAGAAGTTCTAGTAGATTGAAACTCCAGTTTTCACTTAGTTCAGTTCAGTGTGGTTTAATTTTCACTGCTGAAAGCCCAAACACTGAAGAGCAAATCCATAGTTGGCCAGGTACAATTGTGGAGTCATTTCAGTTTAACCATAAACTCTAGAAAGTTTGTTTTAAGGCCTGTGACCGTAAGCATTGTAAGCATTTTAAATGAACTTAAAGCATTTGGTCACAAGGAATTATTGCCTTTTGTAAAAAATTTTTTGTATTTAATAATGTATATAATGAAGACATATACAACTATACAACTTTATTGTTCGTTTGATTATTTTATATCTGTACCTAAAAACATGTTAGACTCAATTATACCATTGCTTTACTGTATATGCTTAGGCTGGTTATTAGTCTAATATATTTTTTGAAGCTGCACTCCTTTACTAAATCTTCCCATTCATTCATTCATTCATTCATTTTCTTTTCAGCTTAGTTCCTTCGTTAATCAGGGGTCGCCACAGTGGAATGAACCGCCAACTTATTCAGCATGTTTTCCACAGCGGATGCCCTTCCAGCTGCAAAACATCACTGGGAAAATCTTCCCATTCAATAAAAATGTATTAAATATTTCAAAATAAAGCTATTCAAGCTAGTTGGTGAAATATCTCTATAAACTACAGGAAATAAAAATATTGCAATGTACGTTTTTTTTTTCCCAATATCTTGCAGCCCTAGTTTACAGTATATTGTATGACACACACACACTTGTAATACTCTGTAAATGAATTAGGTCACATTTTTCTCTATCAGTTACGCAATGTTCCTCGATTGTGTTTTAAAGCATATTAAGCCTGATTAAATTCAGGACAGGTTATTTGTTTTTTTTAATAAAGGCACAGGGAGCACATTGCGTGCGCAAAGCCCTTTTGTTGTGAATCATTACGAGCTCTGTAAATTCTCTTATCTCCAGCCCTGATAACCCATTCACAATCTGGCCATAAAGAATTTGATAGGCTAATTGAATAGGGCTTCGATGCACACTTTTGTAATGGAGCATTATAAATCTGCGAGCAAGGTGACAGGGCTACAAAAGGGAGCGCTTTAGGGCGAGACTCCCTCCCTTTCACCCGCTGACTTTACAATAAGTTTTGCAGCTCTGAATGTTGGGCTGTAAAAGAGTGCTCTCTGCTTGAATCGATTGCCCCCACCTAACAAGTCGTCCGTCCTCCACTGCGGAGAGAGAGAGCAAGCGAGCGATGGATTTGTTGAGGGCAGTGATACAGAGGCCTGCCTGCTATCTTGATCCTTCTTGTGCCGCAGGGCCGTATGGACCATTAACCCTCACAGTTTTATCTAGCGCTAGTGATTAGCGCCAAGACCTCGCCAAGGCCTATTGACAGCGTGTGTACGTAAGGGAGATGATGTACGACTATTACCTCGCTCACATTTATCTCCTTTTGTCTGTCTTTTTGTATTTAGGGGGAGAATTAGTGGAGGTCTGCTGACTTTCTGATGGGATGTTGATAGCATTATTTGCCAGTTTGGGGGAATCGCTTGCCTAATTTGTCTCTTGTGCTATTGGATGAGGTGCAGTGGCTTTTTCATTGGGGCTGCAGCACAATGGGTTGCTGCATTATCTGTTTTAAGCGCATATTTCATATTGACTTGTTTTGTGATTTTATGTTTTTTTACTAGCAAGTTCTTACTATATACATACATTATATATATATATATATATATATATATATATATATATATATATATATATATATATATATATATATATATATAATTGTTTTTAATATTCTCAGTATAGATGTATATTTGTCTTCTATTTTGGCTACAAAAAGAAGCTGTGAGATATTTACATTGCAGATTCACTGGAGATATGTTCTAGGGCTGCATGATTTTGAATAAATCTGACATGGGAATGGGATGATCAAGTTTTTTTTATTTAGCGAATCTCCATAAAATTCAATAAATTAAAAATCTGATAGATGAGCAAATCCAGCGTTATTGATGTGGAATTTCCAGTAAAATCTCAAAATATAAATTCACAGAGAAAGTGTATGTTAACATTATATTGAAACATCTGTTTATATTTTACAAAAAAACTAACTACAGAGTTAAGGGAGCAGAACCATACTATTCTGAAGCTTTTCACATTTTGAACTAGGAAAATGGACATGCGTTATGGATGTGACGAAACAAGTTTGTGAGTTTACAGTGTACAACATAATTTGTAGAAATTCTGTGAATTAAACTGCACTATTCAATAGAAACTATGCTAATCTAAACATATACAATGCTAATCTAAATGATAAGAGTTGGCTCTCTATAGAACCAAAATTATTGATTTTATTTAACATATTTTTGCATTTATCAGGAAAAAGCTTGCTTATGGATGTGACGGATGTGGAATTGGCACTTGTGTGATATAATAGTTTGAAAACATTAACAGAGACATTTTTGAGTAATTTTAAAGCACTGTAAAATACTTGCTTATACAAAAACAAATGCAGAAACGGTTTTGATATTTTGTCGAAAACTTTTTTTCATGGCAAGGTTGACATTTGCATGGAATTACTCAGATCAAAAATAAAAGTTAAATAAACAATGCTTTATGATTTTCTGGAGAGTCTACAATATTCAAGTACAGAAATTAAACTGTCAAATTT